TGTATCTGGGACATAACATACTTGTAGATCTCGTGAAACTGAAAACTGTGTCAATATAAGTTAATTTTCTATAATCTGGATCAGAACCAACCAACCTCAAGTTCAACTAGTGCTGCAGCCACTGCCTCCACGGCAAGTGCCCCAGCTTTGAGCTGGTCAACAGCCTGCAAAAGAAACAAAACAGGTTTATAGTGAAAAACAGTAAATATATAACTAAACTCAGTTCATATGAACAATAATGTCAGTTATTTATATGAGCAAGACATTTTTTAATATCCCTGAAGCACCCAACTTAAAGTAATTATCAAATACACTTTGAATATAACCTAAAGAGATACAAAAAAAACCCTCTACATTAACAGGTTTAGGTAAAAAGAGGCATAAAGGATGTAAACATTAGATTAAAAAGACTCACAACTTGTCTAAAAGTCACATTGCTTCAAAACTGGCAAAACTATGTTTTCGCAATTCATATTTTACTACTTAAAGAAACTATTAGGAATTTCATAATGGAAAAACACTGGCGACCACCAGCACTAACCCTCAGAGTCCCAGTAGACACACCTACGGGATCAATTTCAAAATTCTACATCATCTTGTTCTTATGTTTTGGAATTCAGAAGTTTTTCAGAAAACTTAACCTCTGACTTATCTACTAAAAATTTCAAATTCATCTGAAATTTTTAGTAGATAAGTCCGCTCACCTGCCCGGTGAGATAATGACAATACTCCACAGGCCTGAGGGCTAAAAACTGCAGGCACATTATAACACATCACTCTTTCTAATCTAAGTGTGTGCGACAATATCTCTGTCACATGACACATCATTTTCGTTTGATGAAGAATGCGTTTGATTAGATAAATGCTGTTTTTCACTTTGCCCCCGTAAAATCAATCAAAAGATACACGTCTGTCTGTGTATGAGAGGAAAAGAACACAGACAGAATGCTAAAATCTTTTAACAAGGAAAGAAATTATCATTGGCATACAAGCAAAAGACTCATTTTCAAAGAGAACTGTTTCTGCATCGTGTTGAAACAAGCTTCTTATGCATCTACCGCTTTATTGTAACAGTGCTGGAAATAACCTGGGGCTCAATATTAAGGATGGAAGCACAATAAATAAAACTCAACATAAGTAAAAGAGGGTGCTTTAGAATGCAAAACAACAAAGGCTTTCCCACTGTAAAATGAAATTAACACAGGCAAATAAAAACTGGAATGATTCTGTATGAGTACTACAGTCAAAACACAGAAAAATATGCGGAGACAGGTGCTCTGAGAGACTCCCCATCTGACCAGAGAGAAACTGAGCAAACAAAAAATTCCAATAAATTGATTTTTAGGATGAAATGCTAAAAGTTTGGTAAGCAATCTCAAACAGAAAACAACTAAGTCTTTCTCTACATAAAGTAAATCAAGAGTAGAAAACCAGTAGTAAAAAAAATTGACTCTAAGGTGTCAACAAAATATGACTACCAACATATTTATTTACAGTTTAAAGTAAATGTACATGCAAATTAGGTCATTCTTTATAAAAAGCTACCTCAAATTATGGTCCATGTTGAGGTTATCTGTAATCAGCTAGTATTTTGCAGAATAGTGTCAAGTTATTTAGACAGAAGAAATACATTTACTAACATTATAATAAAAATGAACTGATTAAGGGTAGCATAGCAAGTTTGCAGTTTGCTATAGCAGGCCTAAAGGTAAACTTACTCGCTGGCAGGCTCTTTTGCATACATGCTTGTACTCCTTGGCCTTAGATTCTGAATGGTATCCTGCACCTAAAAGTAAATCGTTAAAGAAAAAGAACAAAAGAGGCTTTAAAAATACCATAGACGACCCCCTAAAACCAGGAAATACTTTTGAGAAAAGAGAAAATGTGAGCAGGTGTTTTGTGAATATCATACAACAAAAATATACTTGCATTTATATTTGTGCTTGATTCTGCCTGCTAATTATGGTATATGTAGTTACCTGCATGCACTAAAACAAAGCCACCAACGCCATTTGGCTTTTGACTCTTGCTTGATTCCTGTTTTTTGGCCCATGAGTTGGTCAGTGGAGAGGAGGGCTGCTTCTCTTCAGCAGAATTCATTAGACTTTCCATAACCCCCGCATAATTTGTCAAGCCTATCATTGCCTATCACACAGTGGTAAGAAAATCATTTTCATCGCATACCTGGAAGAGGAAAGGACATTGTCATTTCTGTCTAATACGACACTATGGAAAAGAGCCTCTTGTATACCAGCAAAGTAGCTCTAAACTACACAGATTTCCCATTGACTTAAAACTATAATTTCACGTGCACTGTATTCTTTTTAATGTTACTGTTTGCACATTTACAAAAAACAATCAACTTCGGGGATCATCCTGAATTGTCAGGGGCCAGAGGTGGATAAAAAAAACACATTTCATGCACCCATTCTCACCCATGACATCACTCATCTCGTTAACGTAAGTTCACGTTATCAATAACTTTCAAAACAGTCGTTTCACTTAATGCAAAGCATGCCACTTTATGATTTGCGTTGCTTTATAATAAAGAGGCGTTATTCCGTTTGTGTTACGTGCACGGTTGATAAGAAGGACACTGCAGACAAATAAGTTACTTCGAGTCAAGCTAGCAGTCTTGTGTTTTGCTTGTTAGCTCGCTAACACACCAATAAAACAATCCCGACTTACAACGTGCCCTTCTTTCCTGTAAGCGACACGACTGTCTGCTAATCACGACGTTCACCTGGCATATGTCTTACAGGCAAAAACGTAGCATGAATCAAACTGAAACAAACTTTACTGTCAGACAGTTTCACTCTGTGCTATCCACGGCTAGCTAGTTAGCTAAAGGATACACAAGTGCTTCCTGGTTCAGATACACGTTGCTAAGGAAGTACGTTCAGCGCAAACATTGGTACACGTGGATGAGACTCACTTTTAGAGGAATAAAGAGTAAACGCTGGTACTGATGTTGGCAACTTTGTGACAGCTTTAAAATAAAGGTAAATAAAGTCATCGCTGAATGCTTTTTTTTTTTTAATTAATTTGACGTCAGTATTTTTTATCATTTGAAAAGCAAGAGCAATTTCAGTTCATTTAGTCTCTCATCCAATTCAGAAACTTCTGTTAAAACTAATTATTCTAATTCTCGCATGCGTTAACGTCCGCAACCTATGGTTAAGTGCCATTCACTCAACTGATTAGTTTTTGTGTATTATTATATTGTTTTTGTTGTTATTTGCCCATGTTATGTGCTTTTTCAGAATCTACCACTTCAGCAATACATAGATGAAGGAACTCTGTTATATCTTTGAGGTACTTACTTGAAAAATCGTCGGATTTCCTTTAGTTGCAGAGCGTCTGGTTAAGGAAGAAGTTCATAACAATGTTGCTGTTGTTCCCCTATGAACTGATGTCCTTATAGTTTCTGCTGATGTATAATACAGGGAGTGCAGAATTATTAGGCAAGTTGTATTTTTGAGGAATAATTTTATTATTGAACAACAACCATGTTCTCAATGAACCCAAAAAACTCATTAATATCAAAGCTGAATGTTTTTGGAAGTAGTTTTTAGTTTTAGCTATTTTAGGGGGATATCTGTGTGTGCAGGTGACTATTACTGTGCATAATTATTAGGCAACTTAACAAAAAACAAATATATACCCATTTCAATTATTTATTTTTACCAGTGACACCAATATAACATCTCCACATTCACAAATATACATTTCTGACATTCAAAAACAAAACAAAAACAAATCAGCGACCAATATAGCCACCTTTCTTTGCAAGGACACTCAAAAGCCTGCCATCCATGGATTCTGTCAGTGTTTTGATCTGTTCACCATCAACATTGCGTCCAGCAGCAACCACAGCCTCCCAGACACTGTTCAGAGAGGTGTACTGTTTTCCCTCCTTGTAAATCTCACATTTGATGATGGACCACAGGTTCTCAATGGGGTTCAGATCAGGTGAACAAGGAGGCCATGTCATTAGTTTTTCTTCTTTTATACCCTTTCTTGCCAGCCACGCTGTGGAGTACTTGGACGCGTGTGATGGAGCATTGTCCTGCATGAAAATCATGTTTTTCTTGAAGGATGCAGACTTCTTCCTGTACCACTGCTTGAAGAAAGTGTCTTCCAGAAACTGGCAGTAGGACTGGGAGTTGAGCTTGACTCCATCCTCAACCCGAAAAGGCCCCACAAGCTCATCTTTGATGATACCAGCCCAAACCAGTACTCCACCTCCACCTTGCTGGCGTCTGAGTCGGACTGGAGCTCTCTGCCCTTTACCAATCCAGCCACGGGCCCATCCATCTGGCCCATCAAGACTCACTCTCATTTCATCAGTCCATAAAACCTTAGAAAAACCAGTCTTGACATATTTCTTGGCCCAGTCTTGACGTTTCAGCTTGTGTGTCTTGTTCAGTGGTGGTCGTCTTTCAGCCTTTCTTACCTTGGCCATGTCTCTGAGTATTGCACACCTTGTGCTTTTGGGCACTCCAGTGATGTTGCAGCTCTGAAATATGGCCAAACTGGTGGCAAGTGGCATCTTGGCAGCTGCACGCTTGACTTTTCTCAGTTCATGGGCAGTTATTTTGCACCTTGGTTTTTCCACACGCTTCTTGCGACCCTGTTGACTATTTTGAATGAAACGCTTGATTGTTCGATGATCACGCTTCAGAAGCTTCGCAATTTTGAGACTGCTGCATCCCTCTGCAAGATATCTCACTATTTTTGACTATTACTTCTACATACTTTTTAGTTTGTAAACTGAGAGAATAGGACAAACAGTTTTTTTTGGCTGAGTAATAACAGCTCGGCAGTCTTGTTAATGTGTTCGTGTCACTAGCTCAGCATTTACATGTCCCTGTGGTCATCATAATAATAATCCCTTTAGACCAAGTTGTAAAGACAGTTGCCTACAAACATTAAGGAAATGAGAGTCTTACATGTTCTTCTACAATAGATTTCTCCCTTTATGGGTTAAACTCTGTGTGGAAAAAATCTGAGAACATGAACAGAACTAAGCACTTTGTCTTGGATTATAATGTGGTTACACAAAAACTGCAAAACGGAATTCTTTTAAAAATAAAAAGGCACACAATTATATAACTGTGACAGGCCTTGTCTAAATGTGGTTATGGAGCATTGCTGTATGGAATCCTCTCTTTCTTTTCTTTCACTTAGCATCAAATGTCCAAGAACAGAAGGCAGATTGTAAAGCTCCATGGGACAAATTCATAATTTGTGCCATTTTGTAAAACGAAAAATGACTTGGTGTGACCCGATTTCACCTCTCTTGCTGTGTTTCCTGGCCTTCAAAAGTACCAGAATTGTTACTGGCATTGTTGAGGTTCTTCAGTCTTCTTATATAACTTGAGTGTTTTGCAAGACACCAGACTGTTGAAAACTTTTAATCAACAACCCTTTTCTGCTCAAGGTCTTTACTGCAACGTTTAGTCCCACAGCATCCAAAGCCAGTTACACATGTTTTTCTCAAGAGCATTACTGGGGAGTTTCCTGGGGAGGTTGAGGAAAGAATGGGATGTCCATCTTGAACATTTTCTGCTGAGCCTGTCAGGCAGCTGATAATTAAACCACCGAGAGAAGCATTCAGTTCTTGCCTCACTGTGAAGAATGACTCAGTGTTGCTGTAGACACAGACAATTACAGCATCCGTGACTACAATTAGCTCTTTAAATTTCCAGGCCAGGAACTCTCCAGTCATTTTCCTCTTCCCTCTTTCTTCTTATTTGACACAAGAACTGCAATGTAAATAAAATATGCTCCATGCACATGTTGAACGTTTGCAAAGATTGTTGCTGAGACAAAACTAATACTGTCTGAAGAAACGAAAAATCGTTAAAAAAAAATTCACCATAAATGTAGCAAAACTATTTTTATTTAAATCAAATTAGTTACACTTATTCTGTGCTTTGCCATAAGACCCATTCATTACTAACACAGACTTTTATATTTACGGCGCAGCAGAAGTTCTAGAGTTGGACCAAAATGAAGCACATTCTCTAATCATAATGTGAACTGTAATGTTATTTGCTTTGGATCACGTTAACAGAGATGAAAGAGTGCTGCTGACCAATTAATGGAAAGAGGGCTGGGGCCAGGGTGCACAGTGCCAAAGAGGGGCCATTCAGGCTTTAGAGGGTTGCTTTAGTATTGCATACCATCAAATCTCTGTGGAAACTTCTGCTAGCTGTTGTTAATGGTGTGCAGAGGGAAAATGCCAGTAAATCTCATTTTAATAGACATGATATCTGCCATGACCACACAGACTGGAGATAAGATTCATCTGATGCCTTCTCCACTTCGTTATCTTGACCCAGGTCACAAAGAACAGACTTTGTTAGTCTTTGAATCGCGTTGTACTAGGTTTATCCAGAAGAGCAAAAATGGAACAGAAAGATAGTGAATTTGAGTTGTATAAAAACAGCCCCGATGCAACAGTTCGATGAGACTTACATGTTTTGTATTCATTAAAGAAAAACACAAAGAAGCAAAAGTTTGAAATGCTTTGGCGCTATTGTACTGAAAGAAAAAAAGAAAATGGGGCGAAATAACTCAACTCTCTGTGAGCAGCATTCTCCTGGAAAGAAAAGCTTTGATACAAAAAGTTTGGAAGCATCTTGTGTCCTTTTTTTAAAAAAAAACATCTGAGCATCTCTCCACGCTAAATCTAATCAGCATGAGTTCAGCCAGCGATCAAGATGAAATCCCTGCTGCTCTGAGTAGGCAGAAAGCAGGCGGGTTCTGGTATGAAGAGACATGCTGGATATGGGTTTTATTAAATAAAGTAAAATAAACAGTCATAGTCATTGCAACATATTTTTCTAAAGTTACAACCCACAAGAATTCTGCATGAAAAGAACACTTGCAGTGTGATGCTTATTTAATCCAACCTCGAAACCACGCAAGGGATGAGAGCTGTGCACATTACCAATCAGCAAACAGCTCACATAATCATTCTAGTTACATTTTTAATCAGGACTAACTCAGGAGCAAAAGCAAGTGGGGAAAAAAAAGTTAATTAGGTGATTCAAATTTATAATTCTGAGATACTTTGAGATATATTATATGTATAAAAGCTAGTGTATTGCTGCAAACGGGATAGTTTTATAAATGGGGCTTAATAAGCGATCTGCATGTTCTACATTAGGGAGAGGCAATGAGTAATAATGAAAATCTTGGCAACATTTTACAATTTTTCTATTCCTTTAATCAGCTCTCTGGAAAGTTACAAGAAAAGAATCTACAGCTACTTGAATTACTGACGTGAAATGTATGCCAGCTAGTCAAGTTGAGGTTTACATCCATGTTTGCCCAAATCTGTGTAATACACTGTATGACATGGAAGAAATTAAATAGGCAGCCTTTAAAAATTACTGTCACCTACTTAGTTTCTGAACAAATCTGATATTTAATCAGTCTCTTGCTCTGTTCCTGAGCACACTGTCCTGGTATTGAACACTGGCTAGAAAAGTGGGGCTTTTATCTTGTTCTGGGTTTTGTTTTGTTTTTTGTTGGTCTTTTTTTTTTTCTTTGTATGTTTCTTTTGCATAATGATGTAATGCAAACTTTTGACATTTGGATGTGAAATGTCATTACTTTTTCATTTATTCTTTTAGACATTTATGTGGAATGTTGTCATAATTTAGTCCACAAAAACTTGATTTTATTGCCAAAAATTTGCTTTGTGAGGTCACAGCAACCTTTGGCAACCAAAATCTAATCGTATGCCACGGAGCTGAAGTTAAAGTTTGTGGAAAATTTGAAGAAACTCCCTCTGAGCAAGTGTTTTGGTGAAACCTCTAACCTCTAAATATTTAATGAATTACATTGAGTCAAATAATAGTCT